CCAGCCCTGCCTGCCCCGGGGACGCATCCTGCCTGGCCCACGGCCCCCCGGAGGAGGCACATGGGCCTGGCAGTGCCCATCACAGCCCTTTGCCACGGTGTGGCCAGTGCAGGGTGGCATCAGATGTGGCAAACGGGACTCGGGGACCATCCCCTGAGATGCTGGAGGGGGACTGGGGGAACTGATTTTGTCTCCTTGTCCCAGCGGTGCTCAGCTGTGTCCCTTCACTTTTTGGCCAGGAGGATTCTCCTTGGCATGTCCCGTCCCGGCTTTGCTATGGAAGCACCTGGGACATGCCAGGGTGTCGAGGGGGATGAGGGAACTCCCCGCTATGGGATGCCACAGAGCCCCAAGGAGACAGTCCTATTCCCAGAGACAGGGGATGCAGCAGACAGGCCAAGGAAGGTTCAAGCCCCCTTGGGAGCTACCTCTGGGGGATCCTAGCTTGGGACACTGGGCCACAGGGCCTTCCTGCACCCCAGGGGAGCTGGGGAAAGAGGTGCAACATGTGGCTGCAGACTGGGAGTTGCCCTTGCACCTCCCAGGGAACATCACTCCCCTGAGACTGTGCTCGCTACTCCACTGGGACCTTGCACAGCAGGGACCGAATTGCCCTGTATGTGTCAGGGCAGCTTACACTGGGCAGTGGTGTGGGGTGAATGACTACAGCAAGCCCAGCGTGGTGCCCTGCGCCCCACTGTGTCCCCACGGGACCTGCCTGTCCATCCTGCCCCTTGCGGCCCCACTCATCCGGGCTGCTCTGGGGCTGTGTGTCCCAGTTCAGTGCAGGCAGCGGGCTGGGGAGCCAAAGCGGGGCCAGGGGGTGGCTGCACCCGAGGACCTTGCACTAATGGATTTGGAGTTTCCAAGGTCAGGCTCCCACCGTGAGCAAGAAAAACATTCCCAGGGAAGGGCCATGGGAAAGGGCCCCCCCCTGCAGTGCTCCCAGCCCCAGCTGCTGCCTCATGCCCCAGCCTGGCATTCTGGGCCGCTCACACGAGGAAGTGGCTGCATCCCTCTGAGAAGAGGTGCTGGGCAAAGGCTGGGCCACCCCAGCTGCCAAATCTCTTGTAAGCGGTATGTGGCGTGGCAAGGGTGCCTGGCTATGCAGGAAGGGGACAGGGGATGGAAGGGGTCATGCATGGGGTGCAGGAGGTGTTGCAGGGTGCTGTGGGTGAGGGAGGGGATGGCATGCTTGGCAGGGGCAGGGGAGAGGTGTGCCAGCTCTTCCAGGGAGCTCAATGCCCACCCCATCCCCTCTGTGTGGGTGCTGACCCCCACCTCTGCACTTGCAGCCAGCATGGAGCAGCGAGTGGGGCCACCAGAGCCAAGACCTGCAGGACCTGCCATGCACCTGCTGCCCAAGGTGAGCCTAGGCCTGGCTGGCCGCAGTGGCCAGGACCACACGTTCCCTTCCCCAGCTCATGGAGCCTTGTTGCTGGTGTGGGGACCCTGGTTGGGGCTCACCCCACTGTGCTGTGCTTTGTTGCAGGAGGGGACATTGTGGGGGCTCCTCGCCGTCCTCTTGCTGCTGGCTGGGCTGGCCACAGGCACCCTGCGAACACTGCACTGCAACAAGACGCTGGATGTGGCCCCCACGCTGCAGGGCATGGCCACCGCCAGCCCAGCTGTGGAAGGTGGTGTGGAGGTACCACTCGCCACTGCCTGGAGCCAGCTGTATGGTGTGTGTTGGGGCAGGACCCCCAGCCTGGGCATGGTAGCCCTGAGTGTTGGGCATGGGCGGGTTGGGAGCCACTGTTGGGGGGGGCTGAACACATGGGGCCCCATGCTTCATGCTGGGGTTGGTGGCAGAGCCCTGGGGATGAGAAGACATTTGGCTGGGCACCCACCCCCCCC